ATAACAATAGCAAAATAATAGAGAACTATTTTTAACTTGAGAATATTTTTACTTGATTTTACGTCAAAATAACGATAGTCTCGTCTAGCCTTAGAAATATTTAAACATTCCATTACACCTAAAAAATCTAAAAAGTTTTTAAATAAATAAAACCTTTTCATTATATGATCTATAAACTCAAGCGAAACCTTTATATGGAAAAAAAAAAGTTAATCACAGAAAAATATTAAAAGCAAATTGTAAGTGAGACAAAATTTCCGACAAAAATGAGAAATTTAAATACTTAAAATAATAGTGAAAACTAAGTGTAGGGAATAGAGACCACAAAAAATCTATAGTTCGATCTATATATGATCTACAGTTTTATCTACAACATGTAGAAAATTCGTTTCACTTTGCAATTTTCATTCTTGCAAACTAAATATCACTTTTTACAAAAATATGATTTTTGACGTCTAAGTTTTATTAATAATAAGTTCTTATTAAAAAGCGCTCACGTATCAAATTTGACATTTTAAAACAGATGAGCTATTTCTGTATAACTATTATGCATTAATTTTTAAAAAATGTTAGGGTTTTGTAGGTAATTGTACTTTTTAAAAAAAGTAGTTAGAAAAGCGAAATTATCGGAAAAACGTCGGTTTACTTTTATAAATTATTCAGAAAAATGACGCTAAAAATTATAGCTCGCAAAGGTTTTTGTTTACTTGACTCCGCAAATTTAAGAGCCCTCTAAATATATATATATATATATATATATATATATATATATATATATATATATATATATATATATATATATATATATATATATATATATATATATATATATATATATATATACATATATATTATATAGAGTCAGTGGCGATTAAGACTTCTTGGGGCCCGGGGGTATTTTTGATTTTGTAGGCCTTTTTATCGGCCAGAGCCTAAATATGACTAAAAAAAAAAAGGTCCTCTAAAATTTTAGAGGACCTTTTTTTTTTAGTCATATTTAGGCTCTGGCCGATAAAAAGGCCTACAAAATCAAAAATACCCTCGGGCCCCAAGAAGTCTTAATCGCCACTGACTCTATATAATATATATATATATATATATATATATATATATATATATATATATATATATATATATATATATTATATAGAGTCAGTGGCGATTAAGACTTCTTGGGGCCCGGGGGTATTTTTGATTTTGTAGGCCTTTTTATCGGCCAGAGCCTAAATATGACTAAAAAAAAAAAGGTCCTCTAAAATTTTAGAGGACCTTTTTTTTTTAGTCATATTTAGGCTCTGGCCGATAAAAAGGCCTACAAAATCAAAAATACCCTCGGGCCCCAAGAAGTCTTAATCGCCACTGACTCTATATAATATATATATATATATATATATATATATATATATATATATATATATATATATATATATATATATATATATATATATATATATATATATATATATATATATATTTAGAGGGCTCTTAAATTTGCGGAGTCCGGGGCTATAACCCCCCTAACCCCCTCTCATGATCCGGCACTGTATAGAGTGATTTTTAAGAGTGTACGGAATATGCATTGCTATATTTCTATACTGAAAAAGTTTTTTTTTATATCGATGGTGTCAATAACATCGCAAATTAACTGTATAAAGAGACATTAAGAGTATTTAAGTTCACTTTTAAAATGTGTTCACACATATATACCCTTAATTTTAGATAATGATGAATCTAAAATGTTTAAGTGTAATTCAGGGACGAATCTCAAGTTTTTTGGTGTTTGAGATATCTAACTTTCAGACATGGAAAAACTCCAAACATTTACGTCTATACTTGTGTTATACAGAATGCTTTGCAAAAATACTATGATTGGAGCCTTTAAAAAAAAATCCCAAAATTTGAGACGACCCGTCTCAAATTAATTGCTATTTCAACGTTAAAAAAAAAATTTGAAAATTTCAACGTTAATTCAACGTTTATTTTTAACTAAAAATAAACGTTGAAAATAAGGGGTCGTCCATAAAGTACGTGCGCTTTTTTTTTCGCCAACCCCTCCTCCCACCCCCCTCTGCAATTTGCCGTACGCTTTTTGAGTACTCTCTAACTCCCTAAAAGTACTTACGCTTTGAACCTACTAACCCAACATTATATGGTATTTTTTTTAATTTAGCGTCTTATAATTGACCTACTGCCCCCTTATCTCAAAAACGCCATTCAAATTTAATATTTCACATGTATTTGTGTGGGGGAAAGTTTTTAAAAACTTTTAATAAAAGTATTAAGTAGCTGTGGCGCAGTGGTTAGAGTTCTGGCTAAGAACCCAGAGGTCCCAGGTTCGACGCCAGCTCCAGCCCATCAAACAACATTGGTACGGAAGAGACGTGAACTTCCCGTTAAATGCTCTCTCGCGGTGCTCTATGATAAGACCGTAAGGACTTGTGGAAGAAAAAATTAATGTAATTTAATTATTAAAAGTATTAATGTAATATAATGTAATATAAGTAAATCATTAAACGATTTTATGCTATGAAAATATGTATAATTTTACAAAAAAATATAAGAATTTACATTATACACAAGTTTTTAAAAGTCTTTTTATATTGTGTACTATACTTTACATGTTCTATATAAAATGGTGGATCAGAAATGAATATTTAAATCATTTAAAGATGTTTTTATATATATGTAAAACTTACAATCATTCTTAATATGATAATAAAACTAGAGTGGACCAGTATGTTTTGGTTTGTATAGTCAATGTTGTTTGTGTGAATGAAAATTCATCAAGTTGAATAAAGAACAGTTTTGTCAATTGTCCGAATCGAAATGTGAAATTTGCAGTAAAAAGTTAAAATATAACACAACAGGTGGTTGGTATAAGTTTAAACTAAAATGTGATAAAATTACAGGTACTATAACGTTATAAATTAAATGGTCTTTAATACTACCCTTATAAATACATTAAATGGGCTTTAATACTACCCTTATAATTATAGATATGTTATAATCATTTATATATAATTCCAGACAGCACACGACTCCGGGCCAGTACTCTGGCAAATAATCGCACGCCGTTGCGACTATATTAGTAACGGGCCATTACTAGAGCGAGTCTGGCATGCGATTCAAGCAACTTTTTATGTACGGTAAATCATCGCCAGAAGTCGCAGCGGCGTGCCAGAACTCTGGCGAATTGTCGTGAGCCACTACGACGGCATTTGATTTCGGGCCCGATTGCGGTGGATACAGTGTTTTGGCCGAATGTCGTTTTATTGCCATCATTCAAATATTTTTTTGCCAATGCCAATTATTGCCATCATTCAAATATTTTTTTCGTTATCCATGATGGTACCATAAAAGCAAAACTAAATGTTTGCAAGATATATTTTGTTATTGCAACTAAATGTTATTATGTTTTGGTTTGTATAAATGTTTGTATAAATGTTTGGTTATTACACTTTGGTTTGTATAAATGTTATGCTGATAGCATAACTTTTATGCAAAAGATATGCAAAAGATGCTTATTTAATAAAAAAACACGGTTGGTAATATAGTTAGATATATCTAACTTTGGCAAACACTTTTTTATTTATTATGATATAATATAATATATATATATGTATTATATATATATGTTGTTTTGTTTTTTCAAAAGGTCTCTGGTTTGAATTAGTCTTGTACTATTTACATTGTTCCTTCACAAAAATATTATTGTAATATTTATACCATATTCAATATGTTATATGTATTAGTATATGTGTATATTGACAATATACAATATACAAACAGTACAAGACTAATTCAATGTAAATAGTACAATGTAAATAGTACAATGTAAATAGTACAATGTAAATAGTACAATGTAATGTAAAAAGTACAAAGTAAATAGGACAATGTAAATAGTACAAGACTAAACAAATTTTGTTGTCTAACACAAATATTGCCACATGTTGCTTTAAGATAAGGATTTGGTAAGTAAACATCATTACATGATATACACTATACACATACACATGTATATGATATACACTATACGCATATACAATATTATTGTATATGGGTATAGTGTATATCATATACGTGTGTATGTGTATAGTGTATATCATATAATGATGTTTACTTACCAAATCTTTATCTTAAAGCAACATGTGACAATATTTGTGTTAGACAACAAAATTTGTTAAGTAAAAAGTATTTATATTTTTGACGAGACTACCTATATTGTGTACTAGTAATTTTTAACGAAATCAAATTTTCTTACTTATCCTTATGATTAAAGTCTCTTAGGAATATTTAGCATTAAATTTAAAAAAAGTTGAACATGTTGCAATTTTAAATGACAATTTTCTCCAGTGCGTCTTGCTGCACTTGTTATAGTTTGTTTAAGTTTGTGCATTATTTATTTTTGTTCTTGATAACAAAAGTGCTTTATTATTTATTTTATTATTTATTATGTTGTGTCTCAAGTGTTTTCTTTTAATAATAACATTATTATATTAATATTGTTTGTAATAATAGATTCCATAGATAATAATTTAAAAAAATGACTTTGATCATATAAATGACATCACTCGATGATTGTCATGTAATAAATAATTATTTAATTAAAAAAAAAATTTTATCATTTATTTGCATTTTATTTTCTGAAATACTTTTAGTATTTTTTATTGCTATATATTTTAACATTTCTCAAATTTAATTTTTTTTTTTCGATTATCAAGTATAACAAAATGATCAACTGTAATTACACTTAATGCCTATAATTCCTATTTATATAATTTATTACTACATTTAGCATATATTTTATTTCTATGAGAACAATAATAAGTTTTATCATATTGTTAAATTTTTTGACACATATCGTCACTCCAAAATAATAAAATTTAAAAAATATTCTATTTCTTTCTTTCAAAATGGAGCAATTTTTATATTTTATTTTTAATCCTTTTTAATTACTTTCCATTTTTGAATGTATTTTTTCTTTTAACTGTTTTTTTTTTTCTTTTCTTGTTTCTTTTGTTAATTTGTTTGATTTGTTTTATAATTTTTTTTAGTTAGATAACAAATGGTATTTGTGGATGGTCCTTTAAGACTCACCACATTTACTATTAAAAAAAGGAAAAGATTCTATGAATGATTAAATTGATTATGATAAAAGTATTTTGTATAACTCTAGTTAGTTGTTTTATGTATATTTTTACAAATATATATTTTTTCTATAGTATTTAATTTTTTTGTTTAATTTTTATTTTGAAGTATTTTTCTTACATTTTTTTACTATTTTGATTTTTTTTTAGTTATGACTAAACAAGAGAAAAATTATCTATGGCAAAAGTTAATTCAGACTTTTTTTCAATCAACGACAGTAAAACCCTGATAAATTTAGAAGTAAACAGATTTCAGAAAAGTCTTTGTCTTTGTGATGATCATGGTGATTGCGATGATGATATACGTGATAATGATGATCATATGTAATTTAGATGGTGATCATCATATCATGATGAATATTCTTTTTTATTTTTGTAACTGAATTCCAATATGTTCTGAAACAATCTTTTAGTTAGTTTATGTAAATAGGACACAAATATGCATCTAAATTTATCAATTTAAATTGATGGACAATGATTAATTAATTAATTTAAATTCGAAAGCAATGAGTTAGACAGCTGATAGGATGGAAACCCATCCACTTCTATGGTATTGTATTTTATTGACTAGAAAGTTTTTTTTTTTTTAATGAAGAATTTATTTAAAAGAGTGCTTTATAAGGTGACAATTTCTTAATTTATTTTTAGCGCTTTAATTCTAAAAAATGTGCTTTGATTGAAGAAAAATGAAAATATTTTGTTGTTGCCTATTGAGATTATATCAACTTATTTGCGTGCTGATCAGTTGCTGGATGAATTAAAGCTCTCATAGTTCCCTAAATCAGTATTGTATCATCAGTTGCATCTAATGCTAAAATTGAAGCACATAGTAAGCATTAGTAAACTAAATTTAACTGTTTCATAATTGTTAATTTTTTGTTATTTTAGTTTTTGGGGTCTTAAGTGACATCCAATGGATGTTTATCTGTAAGATGGTTTCTTGCGAATGTGAGCAAAAAAATACTTCATTGCATTGGTTAATAGTAATCTCGCAATTTATTTTTGGAGTTATTTTTATATCTTTTTTTTTTCAATAATAATATGAACTTGTCTTATGTTTAAAAATGGTTTTAAATTTTACATCTAGTGTTATTTTATTAAATACAATAGGGTTGAGGTGCAGAATTTTTTAAAAAAAGATGTTTTTGTTAATTATCCTAACGTTTATATATGTGAGTGTAATGTATATTTTAATCATACATTTTAGTTTAATTGTTGACTATTTTTAACACGTAGTTTAACTTTGTGTTATTTAGATGCTGTGAAAATAAAAGCTTTAACCTCAGGAGCACCAGGAGAAGAGTTTAAACATTAGCTGAAGAGATATTTTTTGCTTTTTGGGGATCGAAATGCGGACGAAAAGCTCGAGAGGAACTTTCTTTATATAAAAAGTTATTTGCATAAATAACAATTTGAACTTTTAATAACATTTTTTTATTTTTTATTTCATTATTTTTTAACTCACTTTTGGTTGGGAATAAATTTCGAAAAGACTTATTTATTTTTTTCGATATAAGTTGGAATAAATTTTAAAAAGTACTTATTTGTTTGACTAGTAATTAATAATAAGAAGCTTCTAGTACCTAGAAACAAAATATGAGACTGCAATTAAAAAAAGAGATAAAGACTCCACGCGAAGAAACGACAGATATTTATATATTTTTAAAATTAAATTCAAATCAAATAAATGATTGGACTTATCTTAAAAGTTTGATGGAACTATATCCATTTTCTTCGTTATACAAAACATACTACGGGTGGTGAACGATTAACGATTAATCGAATAATAAAAATAAATCTTTGAAATATGATATATTAACAATATATCATATTTTTTTAGAAACAATAACTGTTTTCAATTTTTTACCTGTTTTTAATAACTGTTTTCACATTTTTTTACCGGTACCGGTAAAAAAATGTAAACAAATAATACAATGCGACCGTGGATGTAAACAAATAATACAATGCTTGATTGTCAATTACAATGTCGTCTGGAGAAAAAAGTCCTTCTGACGTTTGGAAGCATTTTCATTGGAAAAGAAATGTGAACATTGTTCAGTTGAAATTAAATTCCATTAATCGACTTTAAGTTTCTTATATCATTGAGCACAAACATAAAAATTTTCTGACCAAAATTCTTTCAGAAAAGATAAAAAATACCAAGTGTTGCTGCCTACTGTAATAAAACAGGTAACAAAGCTGAAAAAATATTAGCTCGTTTAACAACTGTAGATCGTATTTCCTTAAGGAAAAGGCCTTTTCAACTTTGTTGAAAACTGATGTTGATTGTTGTGTTACTGATGGTGCATCAGTCATGAAAAAAATGAGACGAGAAATGGGAGCTACCCACCAACTTTGCTATTGCCATGGAATTTATCTTTCGGTATGTGATATTCTTTATAAGAAAAAAGGTTCCGCAACAGAAACAACTGGTGAAGAGCTAACTATGGAAGAGCTAAATTAAAATGAAGAATATTGTTCAGACTCTGATGATAAAAATGAAAATGAAGAATGCTATAATGAGGAAAGTATCAGTTATATTGATAAGGAAATGCAATTTAATAAGGACTATGGTACTATTACATCAAAGGTTCGTAAAATTGTCAAGCTGTTTAAAAAATCACCACTTAAAAATGATATCCTTCAAAACATTTGTGGATCAAATTTAGAAACAGAGCTTAGGCTTATACTGGATGCTAAAACAAGAATTCTCTAATCAGTATTTTAAAACGATTTTCGAAGTTAAGAAATGTTATTGGAAAAGCTCTTGTGATATATTCAGAACAGATTTGATTTTATCAGAAGAAGAAAACACATTTCTGATATTGTTCAGTTTGTTCATGTTGTAGAGTTATATGTTATGGCAATGGAAAAAGGAGAATGTGATCTAATAAAATCTGATAAAAATTTTTTGTTTTTACTACAAAATCTTAGAGAACAAAATACTAACATTGGCGAAAAACTATTAAATATTGTCTCTGAGAGAGTTACTGAAAGAAGAAGTTATGTTATTTTTGGTTTATTATGCTGTTTGCATAATTCAGATGACTTTAAATCAGATTCAGAGTTACCAGGTAATCTTTTAAAATACCCAAATAAAAATGAAATTGCTAAATTAGCTCGAGATATTTTTATATGTTTGTTTCTACACGAGGAAGTGAAGCAGCACCTGAATCTGATATCAAATCTACTTGTAATGTAGAACCAATAAGAAAAAAAAAACTAAAGCTAAAGAATTAGAATAAATGATATCAAATTTATCTTCAACAACAGTAAGATAATAAAGAACTAACTAGTAAGTCATTTCCTCAAGAGGTTTTGACTTGCATTGAACAAAAAATGGCGGCACTTGAAAGCAATGGAAAAAGGCTAAACTCCTTAGAAAAGATTTACAACGCTATGCTTAGTCTTTCACCGTCTTAAGTAGAAGCAGAAAGAAATTTTAGTGCTGCAGGTTTATTTATTACTAAGTTAAGATCCAGTTTAAATGATGATACTTCAATGATCATATTTGATGAAAAAAGAGAAACAAATTCATAAAAAATTGTATTTTTTTTATACTGTAAAAATTTATTTGTAAAAATTAATCAAAATTAATCGATTAATTGATTAATTTTTCGAAAATTAATCGTTAATTGATTAATTTGAAATACCGATTAATCTACCACCCCTAAAACGTACCTCCTTTAAAAGACTCAAAAAAGTTTTATAAGTTTTATTAACTTTTTTCTAATAGACATAAACCAAATAACTACTTATTTTTTCAACAGTCAAGAATTTACTGAGGTTTTAAGAACTTTGATGTATATGATTATTATATATGATTAATGATATATGAAAACTTGCATCTTAATGCAAGTTTTTTTATATCATTAATCATATTCAAAAATTATGCTTTCTGATTGCATAGGTCACTTCTTCCACAATCAAAATAAAAAACACAAGAATCAGTATAAGAATTTTACTCCTCAACTAAAAAAAAAAGTAATCACATTTCTTCTTTTAGAGCTCAAAAGTCCCACTACTCTTAAAAAACTTAAAAAAGACGACTGTATCTTCCTCAAGAATAAAATATAACCAAGATGTATGACCTGTTTAAAATCAAATGCAAATAATAAATTGTCATACAAATCTTATTGCAACATATTTAACGCTAATTTTAACATTTCTTTTGGGATACTTATACCTTATACCTTTTACCTTACTTATACCTTATACCAGCTAGGACACAAAAATTGTTGAAATTTTAGAACAATCCACAGTGGACACGATATAAGACAATTGGGGGACAAAATTACTTTGATCTTTTTTTTTTTACTAAAATCCTTTAAATGTCCAAACAATCATTTTATTTTAAGATATATTTACTTTTATTATAAATTTTATTTAAATAGTTGCTAATACTAAAAATTGTTTAACAAACTTATATATATATAAAACTTTAAAAATGTGGTTTTGTAATTTTTTTCTTTCAAATCCTTTAACTTATTAAAGTTGTAAAAGTATAATTTAGAAGGTCTTTTAGCGATATAAAAGTATATTTTAAAAGGTCTTTTAGCAATATATGTACTGAATTATCAACTACATGAATGTGCTTAGGATATGGGGCAGTCTTGTTCTTCATCAGCATTTCTTAGACGCTGGTATGTTGATTTTTGGTGCTATTAGGAATTAGTTTATTTTGTTGTATAAGTTCAAGAATATAAAGTTAATTTAGGTGCCCCAAGAAGTCCTTACAGTCTTATCACAGAGCACCGCGGAAGAGCATTTAATAGGAAGTTCACGCCTCCTTCCCAACCGATGTCGCAAGACTTTCCCAGAGGTGGGGTTTGAATCGTGGATCTTACGTTTCTGAGGCAAGTGCGCTACCACTGCGCCACGGCTGCGTGGAATTTTCTTCCTTGCCCTAAATTGACTGTCTCTGTACTCTGAACCTTTCCGTATGTCCTTTATGTTAAAGGCAAACCTCATAGATTCCTTATCTGAGTTTGGTATAAGAAAAAAAACAAAGATTCAGAATGAGCAAAATAAGCTTCATTTTCGATGTAAAAAGTTTTTTTTATCTCACCATATTGTTTTCTCGCCAGTCTTAATAGTGTTAATAAGTTTTGCGGTGCCTCAATAATACAGTGTTTTACCTTAATTTTATATCACACGTGGAAGTACACTTAAACTACCCATTTTAAAATTAAGTGAAATCATTTTTTGCACATAATCAGTAAAACCATGGTCATTCATAAAAATAAAAATAATAGCTTATTCCGTAGAAATTCATCTGCTATGGCAAAGACTGCCACACTTAGCCTTTCTAAGATTAGGATCCTTCTTGCCTGTAGTCAAACATGTAATCAGTTTATAGCAGAGAGATAAATGTGTCAACATTGAACTTAGAGTTTTTACAGGAATATGAATTGATGGTTTCAACTACACAATAGATGCAAATCTTTGAATTTGTGGATCCATCCAAAGTGATAATAATGTGCCTCAAAGGAAGCTTATTGCAAGATAGCATACAAATAGACCAGAAGCACTTTCTACTTAACAGTTGTTAAAGAATTCAACAAACCTCCATCTTTCCCTCAGCAAGTTACCCTCATTTAAGTTAGTCGAATCCCCTCTTATTACTTCAAAAGATTGATATACTTGTTGAGGAACCATTTAATTAAAGAGTTCAATAGCTTCTTGTTTAGCAGACGTTTTAAGATTTATTGTTTATTGCTATTTATTGTTTAGCAGTCTTATTATTGCCTTAGCAGGTGTAAAATGTATAATATAGTGTCCATCAATAAATATGCCTTTGATAGCTTGTACTTAAATCCTCGGTATTTTTTTATATATCTTTGCTTTAGTCATTACTGTTTTCCTAGCTCTAACAACTTTCTTATGATCTACAGCCAAATAGGACATATCAGGTGTCAGAAAGTTATCAAGAATAAGGTCTTGAAAAAAAGCAGAAACTACTGCTGAAGTACTAGTGAAATATCAAATCTCAAAAAAGCTTCAGCAGTATTAATAAGAGATATAAAACTTAGTTTAAAGTAATCATTTGAAGCAGGTTCATTGTTAATTTCTATTCTGTTTGAATCATCATCACTAATGAAAGACTCAACAAGATCTTTGAAATTTCTTCTTTTGCTTACTAAATTTTTGTTCTAGACTAGACTTTTTTTAGACTTGACTTTCTTTCTTTAGACTCGACTTTCTTTCTTTAAACTTGACTTTCTTTCTTTAGACTCGACTTTCTTTCTTTAGGCTCAACTTTATTTCTTTAAACTTGACTTTCTATTGTTAGACTTGACTTTCTTTTTTTAGACTTGACTTTCTTTCTTTAGACTTGACTTTCATTTCATATTGCTTTTTTTCTAATACAAACCTATCTAGAAGTTTCCTTAGAATCATTACAAGTCATTTGATATTTTGATAGAGACACAGTTTTTTCTATTTTAACTTTTACTAAACAAGTTGAAGTTATGAAGTTTTTTATTTACTCGGACAGAAACATTGAATATGTGTAATATCTAGAAAACTGTTTGATTTTAAACACTTTTCATTACATAAAGCGATTTTACATTTACATGCAAAAAAATTAAAAATTTCACTCTAAATAAAAAAAAAAAATTTTTTTCATTATAATGAAACTGTAAACTGATTTTTGGGGTTTTAAAAGACACTATTATACTAAATTTATAAAAGCCTAAAATAAAGTATTACGAATTTGTTTTATTATATAGTTTTTGATATAATAAATATTTTATTTTAGGTTTGTCCACCACCTGGCTGACTGTGCAATATTGCAATTTGCGTTGGCACAACATTGGTCGCCAACGTTGATTTTATATTATTTTGATTACAAATGCGATGTTGCCAACAAAAAAATAACAAATTTTGTATTTTAAGTAATATTTTACGTTAATGCAACGTTGTACTTTTTTATACCTATAGGACTGACACTTGTTTTTATTGTGATAAGTTCAAAATTAAAATTGAAGTAATAAAAATTATTCTATATTATAATTCAAAATGAAAAAAGTTTAAACAACATTTACAGGAGCTAGAATTACAGACAGAACAGCACCGCAAAGATGCAGAAACATTTTATGTTAGAAAAAAAAATGCAAGTTTTAAAGCACAAATGAAGTACAAATTTGAGGCAAATGCTTTTAATTTCCAAACAAATCTTTATTTACCAAATAAATTAACCAACAACTTTAACTACAAATAAAAATTCATTTAATATTCACGTACTTCAAGTGATGAAATTTTATTGTACTATTTTGATAAAATAGTACAATAAAATTTCAATAAAATGAACTATCCAAGCAAAAGGACTAAGAGGTAATTTTCATGTTATCAAATTTTCAATTTATCACAAAATAGATCTCCAGATCAAATAAAAAATATACATATGTTAGTCTTATAGATATTTTTATTCATAAAAAAATGGATTATGTTCATTAAAGTAGAATTTTCAAAACGTCTTCATCACTTTCTATATTTTTATATGGAAAGTGAGAAAGTGATAAAGATATTAAGTTAATTAATTTCAAAACTCCCACTACCCAGATAGCACACAGATGGTCGGCAACTGCCGTCGAAACAACGTGGATTTGGAAGTCGGCGCGACGCACAGTGAGTCCAAATCGCGAAAAAGTGGCCAAAATATTTTTCCGATTTTCTCTTTTTATCAAAAGCAGTTTTTTTATACTAATCTTATTTAAACTCAATTTACTGTAAAGGAAGTTGAAATTAAATTGTTTTCGGAAAATATTTATGCTAAAGTGTACAAGAGTTTGTTTGCAAGATTATTCAAGCGTTTTCTTTGTTGATGATTAAGCATAAAAAGACTAGAACTTTTAAACATAATTGAGGAAGTTGGTATTAATCATGTGGATTTGCAAGCTGTTTTAGAAGCTAAAGTGAGAAAAAAATGATCAACTATGAAGAACTGTCCGATGTGGAACTCTCAGAAAAAATTAGACTTTTTATTCTGAAATTTAGAGTATACAAAGCATAATCGTAATTTTGCAAGACTAACTAAACAAGAACTACCCTGGTTAGAGGGTGAGTTGTTTCAGAATAAAAAAGCTGAACTTGATTTAGCTTTAAAAGCCGGTAGACCAGAAAAAAAATGAACAGAGTGTTCATTAAGAACAAAAAGAAGGAAAGTTTCAAGGTAGTTTTAACTTAATTTTTAAAAGTAATTATTGTGTTTCTTTTAAAAAACATGTGACTTTAAAAACAAGTTAAATTATTATATATATATATATATATATATATATATATATATATATATATATATATATATATATATATATATATATATATATATATATATATAATAAAAATCTAAAGCAGGTAAGGCTCTTTAGCCATGGTGAAAACAAATCAAATAGGAAAAAGAAAATTCTTATATAAGATCCCTAGAAGGATATTTATTTGTAAAAGTTTGCTTCACGTTTTCCATAGCATCATTTTAGTTAAGAAATGATACTAAGGAAAGCTGTTTAAGTGACTTAAAAAAGTGAGTTGAGTTTGAGTCAACTCATTTTTTTAAGTGACTTAAAAAAATGAGTTAAGTAACCTTTGTGAAAATTTGCATTGCATGGAAACACTTTAATCAATAATGATTATGTTTTTTTAGATTGGCTAAAACCCATTCAACTAAAGAGTTAGCAGAAGCTGCTATTGTAAGTGCTAAATCAAGTCCTAAAAAATTGGATTTGGGAATGTTTTCTCAAGTTCAAACAAGCAAAACAAAAAAAAAGGATAAACATCAGCCAACTATGATGTCTGCAGAACAAGCTTTATCACTTAAAATTCATTGTGATTTGAGTGATTCGCAATATCAGATTATTCGAAACTTATCTCTGATGCAAAATGCTGACATTTATCCCCCGTTAAAAACAATCCTAAAATCAAAAGTAGATTGTTACCCAGAGGGTTTGCATATTACAGAAACATCTGCAAAGTGTAGTTTTTAGAACATGGTTAACCATACTTTGTCCCGAATTTTGAAACTAAAGTCTGAGCAGCTTCAGAATTTAGATGAAACTGTGACTAGTGGAGTATTTAATTTGAAATGTGGCATGGATGGGGCATCTTCACAAAGTATTTATAATCAAAGATTTGATGATACTGGTTTTACTACTGGAATGCAAAATGAACAATCAGTATTTCAAACTGCAATAGTTCCTTTGAAGTTAAGAATTGGGGATACAAACATCTGGAATAATCCAAAACCATCTAGCCCTCATTTCTGAAGATCTCTTCAAATACAATACCAAAAGGAAACAACTAAACTCATTGCAGAAAAAGAAATAAGTCTTTCTTTTTCTTAAAAACAAATTGAAAATCTCGAGGACTATATTTTAGATCTACATCTCTTTAGTAATGAAAAGCATGGTTCCATAAAAATTAAAATTGTTGTTGACTTAACTTTGCTTGATGGAAAATCGGTAAATGCTGTCATGGCTTTGAATTCATCGCAATCGTGCAATGTTTGTTTTGCAAAGCCAAGCGATATGAACAATCTAGTAAAAATCAGAATGTTCACTCCTGATGAAAAGTCTCTTAAAATGGGAATATCTGCATTACATTGTTGGGTTAAACTGTTTGAGTATGTTCTACACTTAGGATATAAAATAAAAATTAAAAAATATCAGGCAATATCAGAAGAACATAAGCTTTCTGTTGTTGAGCAAAAAAATGAAATTCAGAATCGGTTTAGAAGTGAGCTCAGTCTTGTTGTCGATATGCCAAAGCATGGCTATGGTTCTTCAAACACAGGTAACACAGCCAGAAGAGCATTTGAGAATGCAGATACTTTTGCAGATATTACAGGAGTTGATTTTAATATTATTGTTAGATTAAGAAATATAATGAAAGCTGTGTGCAGTGGGTACCACCTTGATTTAGAGGCTTTCAAAAAATATTGTTTAGCTACTTCTGAAATGATAATTGAAAAATATAACTGGTACATAATGCCACCTACTGTACACAAGCTATTAGAGCATGGTTATCAAATTTCTGATTGCTTTGAACTCCCAATCGGTGTATATTCAGAAGAGGCTCAGGAAGCACAAAATAAATACATTCAAAATGCAAGACTAAACCATACATGTAAAATTTCCAGAAAAAATGCAATCGAAAACTAATGTCATTATCTGCTGTTGCAAAGTCATCCAATAGTGTCATCAATCAGCTTCAAAATTACTAAATCCATTGGTGCTGTTAGATACCGAAGTTTTAAAATTGTTGCTTGAAGAATGATTTTTTAAATGTTTTTTTAGCTTTGTTAGTTGTATATATATATATATATATATATATATATATATATATATATATATATATATATATATATATATATATATATATATATATATATATATATATATATATATATATATATATATATATATATATATATATATATATATATATATATATATATATATAATATAGGTTTTATACATTTTCTTAAAATTTAAATATTTCAAGTCAAAAAATATGAAGTTTTGTATCTTTCAATTTTTTTTCCCTTCCCTCCCCCTTCCTCCCCGGCTCAACTAGTGTCTTCTAAAATAATTGACATTTTATTGAAGTGGAGCAAGTTCGAGCAGCTAAAAAATTATTTGTTTTGTGTCTGATACATTCATAATGATGTTATAGAAATTAAGAAGGGGTGAAAAGTGGACATTTAAAGTTTTTTCAGTTTTTGTGACCATAAAAATACACATTTTAAAAGTTTTAAACTCTTCTTTAAAAACGCAAAATCGAAAGCTAAAAAAAATCGAGTTATTGCTTTTTTTTTGTTATTGAAACAGTAATTATAATATCATAAGAAAATAAAATAAAAAAGTTTGTCAATGTTGCAATGATACAAAAAAATAATCAACTCAAAAAAATTTAAAAAATTCTTGAAATTTTTTCGGATTTTTTTTTAATTATTAAGCGCTTAACGCTACTCGCGAAACTTGTAAAACTCGTAATAAAAGTTCTGCAAAACATGTTTTCCAGTAAATAGGCAAATATCCTTTCTAAATTATAAAAAAATTAATAATATTGAAATAGTTTTTAAAATCGACTTTTGGCCACTTTTTAATGATTTGGACTCATAGTGCGACGTTCGAGCCAACCGATGGGCTGACGTTGGCCTCCGACCGTCGCATTCTAACGTTGGTCCAACGTAGTATTATTTTTCAAAAGAATCTTTTACATTTTTATTTAAAAGGTAAGCACGTGCTTACTATTTCTTGGGTAATGTTTATTGAAGCATTGATTTTTTTTCTCCAAATAAGTTTGAATGACCTTTTTTCGCGATAAACGAAAACTGGTTTTTTGCTGAATAATGAAACACAGAAAATCAAAATTTGTTGCAATAATCATTATAATGACATTAAAATATTCGTACAAATTATACACATATTCAAAAATAAAAATGTTGTTTCGGCTGCTTAGCTTCCATACGAATCTTGAGTCTTTAATTTGCTGGAAAGGAACTCTAAACTTTCAAACTCTACTTAATATACGATTTTATAGAAATCTTAGAACTAGCATCTTTCGTTTGATGAGCCTTTAGGCAATCCCATAACTACTGCTAAAATTATAAGTATAGTTATATATAATATATATACTATATATATATATATATATATATATACATATATATATATATATATATATATATATATATATATATATATATATATATATATATATATATATATATATATATATATATATATATATATATATATATATATATATATATATAAATATATATATATTAGGGATATGACTTTTTTAACTTTTTATACAATTTAGACAACCCCATATTATTTTTGGATGAGTTTTTGCTATAAAACAATGAAGAAATGTTTATTTTCCTTCAAGTGTAAAAAAATGTCACGCCCCTCGGCTGAAATGTTTTTTAATACAATATAGATAGAAATATAATATACTATACATATTACATATGGGCCAGAAAACATAAGTTAAAGAAGTCATAACCCTCTATATATATTTTATTATATTATATTATATATAATAAAATATATATAGACGGTTAATATATATTATATATACAATTTTAAATACATACCAGACGTATGCATTACCACTTTATAATTTCTAGTTTTTCACTGCCGTGCCTAACTGTTTATTAATTAGTTTCAGATTTTTTTGTGCTGCTTTTAATTAAAATGGCATACAAATACTGCCAATCAAGTGTTGAAAAAAATTAAGAGACTTATAAAAAAAATCTTGTGAAATTTCAAGATTCGCATAAAAGTAGACAGTTTCCAATGTTAGAAACATCTTTTCAAGAATATTCCAAAATGCCATCAAAAAGTGATATTGTTAGCAGGTTTAAGTATTTGTCTAGTACTGATGTGAAAGCCAAAAAGCAAAGGATAGATCTTATTTCAGAAGAAGTTATAAGTTTGTGGAAAGAACAATTAAATTTCCCATGTCTGACAGAGCAGTCAGTGAAGCGAAAGATTAATGATGTTATAGAAAAATATGAAAGTCTTAGAAAAAAGAGAATGCCGACCTTCTGCATAAAGAGATTTTTGATATAACAAATCAAAATGGCATTTGGTTATCATCTGAAGATAAAAGATTTTATGAAATTCAGTTACAAAGCAAAGGAGAAATTGGATATGCTACTTCAAAGCTGGCAGGAAAGAAGACTATTCATCCATCAATTGTGCAAAAACTTTCCAGCCAACCTTCAGCATCTAAAAGTTTTTCTTCATTTACTGAAAGTAGTAAAATAGAAAGAGACGACTCTAGTTCCGAATTTGAAGAAACTGATGAACAATTTGAGATAGATAATGAAATTACAGATGAAGAATATAATAATTTGAAGAAAAGACGTAAAAAATATAGTAGTTGTAAAATAGCAACAAAGTTAGTGGTTTGTGCTAAGTTATTAACTAAGAAAGCTTCTAAAATAGGTAAAATACTGTCCTCAGAAGGCATACATGTTCCAGCGCCATCACAGTCTGGAATATACAAGGCTCTTTTTAATGAAGCAAAACAATTTAAATAAACTTTAATTCAAGATTTAAAGAATGAGAATTGGAGTCTACACTTCGATGGAAAGCATATAGACCAATGGGAGTATCAAGTTGTCGTTCTTAAAAATGAAAGAAGCGAAATAAAGTTGGGCGCACTGAAGTTAATAGATGGAAAATCTATCACTATTATTAATGCCATAGCTGATATTATAGATGAATTTAAACTATGGAATTCAATTAAAATGATTGTGACAGATACTACAAATGTCAATACCGGAAAGAAAAATGGTGTTGTTGTAAAACTTCAGGATAATTTTCAAAAAAAAGGATTACAAAAACCTCAATTTGTACCATGTCAACATCATATCTTGGATAGAATACTTAGACTAGAAATGGAAGAAAAATTGGGAGAAAATCCGAATTCACCAAACATTAATTACTTTTTTACTAACGAGTTGTTAGAACATTATGAAACACTGAAGACAAATTTTTATAATGGTACAGCAGAAATAAAAGACACAGGAGGATGGCGAGATGACATGAAGTTTCTGTTTCATCTGACGAGAACCTACCGATACTATGACCAAAATAAAAAAAATATTTCCTAATGTAAGATAAAAAAAATCCCTAATATCAGTAATGCTCGGTGGAGTTCAAGAGCTATTTTAGCGTTGTTAGCCTACATTCTTATGCCAAAAACAAGAAACAAACTTGAATCTGTATGTACCTTTATTTCTTACAAGTGGGCAGACTTTTGGTTTGACAACCAAACCTATAAAGAAAATACTTATTCAGACCTCCATGAAGTTTTATTAAACAAAAAGAAACCTCTTGCTACATTTACAAGTCATTGTAAATGTAGCAAGACATATTTTTATACATTAAATTGTATAAAGACATTCTTCCACTTTGTTTCATTTTGTCTAATAAACAATAACTGTATGTATTTAAATTGTATAAAATGTTTTTTCCTGCATTGAACATAACACTATGCCATGTATTAATTGTTAGAATAAATTATGTTTTTTTATAGAATCATATGAATGAACATGTTTGCAAATAGAAATGATTTTGGTCATTAATTTTTTTAAAACCTTTTTAAATCTTAATGTGCTTTGGGGCGTGACATTTTTTTTGAACATCGTGAAAGTATTAATATTTTCGCATTTTATGCGTAAAAACTCATCCATTTTTGGGCCAGGAAAATTTTTTTTTAAAAAGTCATATCCCTAATATATATATATATATATATATATATATATATATATATATATATATATATATATATATATATATATATATATATATATATATATATATACATATTTGAAAATGATGCTTTAAAAATGTAATTATTAACTACAAACAGATAACTAAATAGTTATTAATTATTTAAGTAAACACTTATTTTAACGAAAAAAATCAAATACTTTGTATTTATATTTCATATTTATACATTTATACATGTTTGTATCATGTTTTTATGATTTAGTGTTATATTTAAAAACTAAATACTCATTTAAATACTCATTATTTATTTAAATTTATAGCAATTAAGTTCTATATAAATACAGAATGTATTTTGTACTACTAATAAATAAAGTTTCCTGTAACGATTATTAAAATTATTTTGAAATATCTAAAAATCGTTCAAAATATATATGTAAAAATATAAAAGTTATTACATATAAATAAAATGTTACAGAAAAAAAAATTAACATAAATATTAACATAAAAATTAACAAATATATGTTTGTTTGCTTAGTAAACTGTTAAATATAAGTCGTTATTATATAAAAATACATCAGTTAGCGTTATCATTATTATCTTCCTCGTCCTAATTTCTTCCTCCTGCATGACGATTCCCTTCATATTTTAACCATAACTTTATTAAGTCTTCATGAAGAGTTTATTAAGTCTTCATGAAAAGTTTATTAAGTTTGTTAAGTCTTATTAAGTTTATAAGTGCCTTGAAGTAAATGTTGCAATTATTGAATTCAATAATTGCTTCATGAGATTTAATGATTAAGTTTCATCAAGCAATTATTGAATTCAATAATTGCAACATTTGCTTCAAGGTACTTATTCACTTGCACAGCAGCTGTTTAAAACAAGTTAAATACTATGTACATAAATAAAAATTTATGAACACGTACATAAATATACATTTATGTACATATTTAAACATTATCAAAGTATAAGAGCCAATACACTAATTTTAAATCGATTGTAAATTCAAATCAAACAAAATTCTCAAATAAAAACATTGCACTAAA